AGGATAAGCAACTTCAATTAAGGTTGGAGAGAAAACTGCAGTTTTTTGAACAAACTAGGGAACGATAAGCTGCAGACATGAGTGTAAAGAATTTGTGGAATGAGGATTAAGGACGCGAGGATAAAACTAGAAATGAGATAAATTGGTACAAAAGAATGCAAAATAACTTTTAGGAGCATTACATAGGAGAGATGACAAGCAAGAACTTTTCGGAGAGAAGATTATATAGGGGTGTAAGAATGAACACCTACTCGTAGAGATACAGTAACTTTGGGGTTTAGAAGAAGTTCATGATGTGAAGATAAACAATTTGGACACACTATTATCTATATGATCAGATAAGTAGTTTTTAGTAGCTGTTTGCCAAAAGTGATCCTGTGAGAAAGCAAGTTGTCAAAGCTGCGCACATGCGTCTAGCGGCAAAGAAGACATGTGATCTTACAATGTGTTACGTTGCATTGAATCTTGTGTCATGACATGATCATACTTACATACATGCATGCAGCTGTATGCATGCATGAACACATACAAATACAGACAGACAGAGGGAGAGAGAGGGAGATAGATAGATAGATGTGCAGTTTACTGTACCATACTGTACTCAAGTAAGAAACAACATGATCACTGTTTTTGATTGTCCTGGTGGTTATTGGAAGGGAGGGAACGCACACCATGCAAACAGTCGTATTCACCCCTCCAGCTATTTGGGCCAAGCAAGGAATTCGGCGGTTCAGTCTTTGTTGGTTCCTCCTTGTTTTCGACATTTCAGCTATGCGTTTCAGTCTGTGGACCCTCACTTGTTCCAGATTGAGGTCTCCCACTAGTTGACAGGGGGCATCTCCTCAAGACTCATCCAGGTCTGGGGACAAAACACCGCCCATACACCGAGCAAATGTACCGAAATCGGCGGTCGAAGTGGATACATCCCCCGGCTTTCTCATTCTTGGCTTTCTTAGGTGTTCTTTCCCATGTGGGTTAGTCTGCAGGGTGCATTTCATGTTGCTCTTTCTTTGGGACATAGACCATCCTGAAAGGGATACATGGGGGGGGTATGAAAACGGATCGTTTGTCGTTCGAGCGCTTGGTTTGCATCACTCATTGGTGGCGCCGTTTCCTTGACTTTTCTTGTGGGGCACATTTGGACATCACTCATCTGAACAGTGGGATACAGTAGTACAAACAAAACCGACCAAGCAATCTGGATCTGAATATCGGTACCCCAACATACCCCAACCCCAGGGTCTTTGAACTCCAGCGCACCAGGTTTGACAGAGATGTACTAAAATTGCACCATGGAACTGAGGTGCCTCCTCCACCAGTTTCGCCAGTGGACGAGGCTGAGAGCAGAGGGGCTGAAACACAGCCTTCGTTTCGGCCTGTCTTCGTTTTAGCCTTCGTTCGCATAGTAAAACTCCAATGCAGCTGGTGCGATAGCAGCCCACTCTGTAGCGGCTACACCTTCCCTGCAGTTCATGCGTGCTGTTTTTTTGTTGGGGTCTCCGATGGTTCTGAACGACCAGTCCAAAGAGTAGCTAGCTGAGCTGATGATCCCACCTCTGACGAATCCTTTCTTTGGAATAAAACCCCGTTGACCATGACTGAAGCCCCGTGGACGGAGTTCAGGCAGCAGCCCAGCGGCGGAACGAAGAGATCGTGGCACAAGCGCTCGCGGAGCACCTCAAGCAGGCGCAGTCACAGATCGGTTTCAGAGGAATGATCCACCGATCACAGCGTTCTAGGACCTTAAGGGTTTGTGAGTGCATGTACAGCAAAGTGCTTGAGATCATAGCGCAGCCACCTGCCAAATTGGGCCAATGAATTCTTTCAGAGCGGTCATTGGCACATGGGCCATGTTGAGCACATGTGAGGAACAAGGTTGAGGGGTTTCATGGCATGTATGGAGTTACATGGGTTCCCACAGTTTGGGCAGTTCGGGACACCTTTGGCAGAAAATTGGACTTCGGGCACCCACGGAGCACGGAGCGCAGCAAATCCATCCAGTTTGGACCTCTGCGATGTGAAAAAAGGAATG